CCTGAAGTGGCACTGCAGAACCAGTAATGGATATACCAGTGGTGGTGCCACTCCTTACGGCACCTGGATGCCACTTTCACACCTGTCTCCTGCTGCTTCTGGGACCTGATGCATGGCTGTGCTCTAGCAGAGAGGGCCCCGCACCGTTCATGCTTTAGTTACTATTCAGGGAATCAAAGATTGGTGTCTCGGGTTCTGGGTGGGCAGCAGCACCACTGTATAAAACAGTGATTGGCCGAGCAAGGAAGGCAGTTTGATTCTGTGTGACCATGCACAATGCCAGCTGTTTATAATAAAGATTAGATACCAGAGATATAACAATTAGAAAGTCATCGATAACCTTAAGGAAAGTAGATTGTAGGAAATGCTAGATGTAGACACCTGGTTGTGGATTAATACCAGGGGATAAGGACACTGAGCCATTTTGTGTTGTAGATTTTGGTTCCAGAGAGAACTATTAGGAAGTTTGGCAGGAGGGCAAAGAGAAAGGTCCTTAGGGTGGTGGGGAAAAGAGTATTTGACATAGTCTAACTAATGCAGGGTCTAGTATTACAGGGTTTAGTATTTCTGCATAGAGTTGAGGGTTGGAAAAAAGAGATGGAGAAATAGGAATATCAAACAAAAGCCAAAGAGTAAGCAAGGTGGGGAGAAGGCAGAGTGAGACATGGAGGGTTTTAATCCTAGTGTGGAGAGCTGATGCGCGGGATTCCGGAGTGAGGTGTTTGCAGTGACGCTGTAGAGTGGGGGCTGAGGTCACGGTGGTGAGGATGTCAGGGAGCAGTGCAGGAAATAGCTGTTCCCATGGTAAAGCTCCTGAAGCTCAGAGCAAGAGATGGGTTGGAGAGCCAGGAAATACAAGGCAGGAGCCATGAAGCTGATAAACAAGATAATTTGCAAAAACCCTAAGCCTAAATTCTAGCGTATTTATAAGCCATTCACTAGATGTTACCGATCAATAATCAGATCCCAAGAATGAGGAAGTGGAGTCCCTGCATCTTAAAGGAGGGGAGACTTTTTTTTGAGTGCCACATAGCCCTTGTTTGGAAGACACTGTTAAGTGGGGAGGTGGGGAAAATCAGTGTGAGAGCGAAAGCCAGGTTCCACCTCAAGCGAGAATCCACAGAGATTCCAGAGCTTGGGATTTCTCTGCCTGTGAAGGTGGGTTCGGGGGGCTCAGAGGGAAGGCTGAGAAGGAGGCCTCTGGTGGGAGAGGGACGCAGAAAAGGAGAGTCGTGAGCACTGTGGGATTAAAAACGGTAAAAGGCAACGTGCAGAATTCGCAGCAGCTGCCGTGATGTCTCCGTATGGACCTGGAAGCCTGGTGGGACGGACTCTCTACGAACCTGAAAGGCCGAGTACTTCTTTTCAGTAAGTCGGCATCACCAGTTGTGACTTGATAATTCGGACAGGAAAAAAGCAGTTGGTAAACCTCTTTCACGAGAAGGCAAGGTAAAGGCAAATTCAAGCAAGTGGTGTATTTAAGCGGGTGATAGGTGAGACTTGATAGCTTGCACACAGTGTCTCAGTGTGGATTTTAGTTTGAGTTGCTTCAGTACTGCTAGGAGCAGGTTGTTTCCCACAGCCTCCCCTCCAGCCACAACACAGAGGAAGCCACCAGCAGATTCTCTCTGCTCCTTCATCCATGCTGCCCCAACTGGAAGTTCTGGGGCCTTGATAATTTCAAGATTGGTAAAGAGCTCTCTGGAACGATTTAAAATGGTCAGTGGGTTTTCTGATACAAGAAGTCCTCGGGGAACACAGTCCTCTACGATATGCTTTAGTATACTAGTGTTTTAAATGTTTGGAGTATTGTTTTATTTATCTCATTTACTGACCTTCAGGAAAGTAAAGGGGAACCAACTTAATAGCTTGAAATGCTTTTAAATAGCTAGGATTCCAGCTGTGACTGCAGTCAAAAGAGAACTTCTGCAACCACTGAGTATTTGTGTACAGAGATAAATGACACGATGAAGGAGCTCTTGTTTATGTTGTCACGGAGCCTCCTCAGGATAAGAAAGAATTCCCTAATAATTAAAAATGTCTACCTCAGTTTAGAAAACGTTTGAGACCCTTTCTGAAAAGGTGCTGTGCTTAGGTGGTGGCATAGCTTTGTAAGGCTACCGCAGCAAATGAGCACAAACCAGGGCTTCACACAGCAAAACCCTGCTCTTTGACAGTCTGGAGACAAGAAGTCCAAGGTCAGGGTGCCAGGAGGGCCCCAGGGAGAAACTTCTTGGCTTCTGCTATTGCCGGCAACCGTTGGCAGGCCTCGGGTCCAGCTCTGTCTGCATCGATGACCTGATGCCCTCTCTTTCACAAAGATAGCTGCCGCAGTATGACCTTATCTCGACCAAGTAGGCCACCGTGAACCTATTTCCACGTGCAGTCACGTTTTAGGGTTCGGAGATGGACATAGATTTTGGAGGGGGACTTCAGAGACTTCTAAAATAGTAAGAAGTAAGCTGTAGTTGGGGGCCTCAGTCCAGAAAACTCGTTCAAGGTGGAGTGTTCAAGTGGTAGTGGGTACAGAGCACTGTGGACACAGAATCAATGAGCAGTTGTGGCTGCAGGGCCGGCGCTCAGGTTTCAGGGTGGAGTTGGTGACGAGCCTGAAGTGGGACCGCTACACCAGCCAGCAGCAATGGGGCAGCCGCACCGCCAGGCACTGTGGGCAGAAGGGCTGGTGCGAGCATCCACAGCGTGGAGTTCCCAAATGCCTGAGGTGTCTGGGTTCGCAGGGAAGCGAGGGAGAAGGGGTGCCGTGAGGGAGAAGAGATCAGGAGGGTGACAGGAGCCTCGTCTTTGTTGTTTGAGTGACTGTGACACGGGGATAGAGACAGTCAAAGGGAAAGGTCCAGGAGAGGCTCACAGAGACAGGGATGTCACTTTGCATTGGATCTGAGTGAGGAAAAATGACAGGGAGTTGTACCCTCGGTCATAAGCTCTGCTTCAGAGGAGGTGACTGCTTCTGTGATGTTTGATTTCTGAGTCATCAGAAATGCTCCTTTGACTCCCCACCTACCTCCTGGATTTAGGCAGTGGATGCTTTTAATTCTGCTATCAATAGTTGTTTCCCCTCTGTTAGAAAGCAAATGCCTTCTGGAGAGAGGACATCCATTTACTGTCTGTCTGTTGAACCTTCATAGGAGGGATTTTTCTCAGCCCTTTCTGCGTGGCTGGCTTTTGAGAAAAACACATGGAAAGATAAGGAGACCCGGGGGAGGAATGGTGGCCAAACCAGTGGTAAACTTGGTCAGTCTTAACTAACCCTAAGCATGTAGTCCTGTTGAAGATCAAGAAAAATCATGATTTTTGGGTTAGGCCTTTTGCTAGTATATGTTAGACAAGACACAATTATTTTTGTACTCAATTTTATGGCTACAAGAGCTGGGGATTTAGCTCAGTGGTTCCGACAACTGCCTTGCAAGCACAAGAACCTGAGTTCGATCCCCAGTACCCCTGCTCCCCCAAAAAAGAAAAAAAAATTTTATGGCTATGAAACCGTTTTTAGAAGGAGCAATAAATCTTACCTCTCCCACTCTCACTTTGATAAAAACAATTTGTGTGGCAGTCTTCTTTCTGAGCTACTTCGGTGGGACTATGCTAGGTGGGGTTCACATGTGACCATGACAGAAGGGCATTCCTGTCTTTGTCAGAGGAGGTTCATGTTAAGTTTTGGTGGTTTATGTCAGAAGTTTATTATGGGGTGTTCCGTATAGTCCTTCTGGGACCCAGGCTCTTTCCACGCTGCTGTCCACGGTATTCAGGGCATTGCCTCAAACCACAGGAGGCCCGCAAGCCAGGGAAGAAGAGGCATGCCATGGCCTAGAAGTGACAGACGTGTACCTCACATTTCACTGATGGGTGCTAGTCCCAGGGGCCACCCTGATGAAAGGAGTCTAGCATACAGTTTAACATGAGGACAGAGTCTTGACTCAAAAATTGTCTGTTTTCTTGTCTAGTTGCTTTGGTTGGGAGTAGGAAAAAGTTAATGGAAATTTTCTGTGCACACATCTTGGGATCACCTTAGAACAGGAGTTCTTGGGCTAAATGATGTGGCTTTTTCAATAAGTTTCACTTGGCATGATGTGTAGGAAGATGAGATATCGTCGACTCTACCTCCTTCACGGGGGGGCAGGAGCAAGGAGAGGTGACCCAGTTCTCAGATTTGCAGTGAGGTGGTGGCATAAGGAGTCCCAGTGAACCACGTTACAGTTTTCTACTCTGGCGATCTCACTACTGCCAGGCCGTTCATAGAGAGCGGTGCTGTGGGGAGCAGCCCTGGCCGAGCGAGAGCAGAGGCTGGACTGGTGAAGCAGAAGGGCCTTGGCATGCTTGCCTTCGGTGCTGGAGCATATTTAGGTCGAGGATGTCTCTGTAATCCCTGGCTTGGCAAGAATTTGTAACTTTCCTGGGGATCACTCTCGATTATTTATTCTTCCCAGCTGTTTTTAAATTCATTTAATTTTGAACTGCATTTACTTTTAAATACCTTTCTTTATAATTGTAAAGTAATACTACAGAAATTAAGTAAATGTATACAAGGATAACAAAAATAAATGCAAATGTAAAAAAACCTGCTTGAATTTCCATAGTTTGATGCTCATTATATATACGCTTACATGCAGTGGATTGGGATTGTGCCATATGAAATGTATATTATTGCAACCTCTAAAATATTTCATATTATGCAATATGAAATATGCAACCCTTAAAAATTGTTTTAAAATAAGTAATGATATGGAAAGAGTCTCATATGTGTTTGTATACTTTGCATAAAAATACTAATATTGTTTGCTTATTTAATGGAAATAGGAAAAAGCTAAAAGAGCTCTGCATGCCATACACTTTGTAAAAAAAATTCTAATTTTAAGTTTTTAAAGGCTGCATAGTACTGCATCTCATGAAAATATACTGTACTTAAAATAATGGCTGCGGTGGGGAGAAGGGAGGATGGTGTATCTGACTCTTTGGCTGTGATGCTGTTCCTCTTCTCCCAGGGCATCAGCAGCCTGTTCAGCTCTCTGAAAGTTGTCCGGTTGCTCCGTCTGGGGCGAGTGGCCCGTAAGCTGGACCACTACATTGAATATGGAGCTGCCGTGCTGGTCCTGCTGGTCTGTGTGTTCGGGTTGGCTGCACACTGGATGGCCTGCATCTGGTACAGCATCGGGGACTATGAGATCTTCGATGAGGACACCAAGACGATCCGCAACAACAGCTGGCTGTACCAGCTGGCGGTGGACATTGGCACTCCTTACCAGTTCAATGGGTCTGGCTCAGGCAAGTGGGAAGGAGGTCCCAGCAAGAACTCTGTCTACATCTCCTCGCTGTATTTTACCATGACCAGCCTCACCAGCGTGGGCTTTGGGAACATTGCCCCATCCACGGACATCGAGAAGATCTTCGCGGTTGCTATCATGATGATTGGCTGTAAGTACTGTCATGCTGGGCTTGGCACACGTTCTTTCTAATTGTTTTATTTGTGCACATTTGCAGCACACAATGATGGCTTTCCTCTTGGGGAGCTGGTACATGTGATAACGTGTCTCAGTTCTTTTTTTCATCCCCTCTTCCCCTCCCTCCTCGTGGTCTCCTTCCTTTTTGCAAAAGAGCTGCCTTCCTGTTTCCTATTATCTATCTTTTATCTTTCTCTTTACTTATATTTTGGGCTTCTCATATAAGAGAAACCATGTGATGATTAAGCTTGGTGACTGATTTATTTCACTAAACATTACAGTCTCTGGTGCCTCCATTTTCCTACCAGTGACCCCAGCGAGGCACGCCTGCTGGCCATTCCCGCTGTTAGGGGGTAAGAGGGTGATAGCTGCTGCGCCAGTAGAAGCAGGGGTGTGGTAACTTAAAGTAAGGGACAGTTTTTCATTAATACTCAACATTCTTGATAATCAAAGGCCATGTATGCACACTACAAAAAAAAATTGAGAAAATGCCAAAGAATATAAAGTAGAAAATGAAAGCTATTCATAATTCTATCAGAAGTAACTACTATTAGTTTTCGGCACTTTCCCTTGTAAAGCATTTTCTATGCATATCTGAACACATAAGTGCAGATTTTTATAGAGTTAAATGAGAAATGTCACACATACATTTTGGTGCAGTGTTCCTAGCCCAGTGGATTGTGGAAGCCTTTTCACATCAGTTTAGCTTTGCCTTTTAAATAAAAGATGAGTAGTGTGGTGTTTTGATATACATAGTGAAATGGTTGTCCCAACAAAGCAAATGAATATACCCATCTTCTCATCTAGTTAGTTACCTTTCTTGCTTTTCTTCTTTTTGGCAAGAGTTCTTCAAATCTGTCAGCAAATATCCAGTGTTCATTAATGATGGTGAAGCTACCGTGTCACTTTAACATAGCTGTAGGTCTGCACAGACCACTGTGGTATGAGAAAAAGGATGTATTTAAAAGGCATGCAAAACATTTCCTTAATTATCTTCTTTGATTATATATCAAAATGGTAATTATTTGATATATCAGATTACATGAAATACTCCATTAGAATTAATGTAGTTTTTCTTTTTCCTTTTAAATGTGGCTCCTAGGAAAATTTTAAATCTTACTTCTCTTAGACAACACTAGTTTAGATCAACATTTTTGATGTCTGCCTAATAGCTGAAAAATGTTCCAACTCAAGGCACATACATACGCAAAGGGAAAAAAGGCTCCTGTTTGATAGGGGAGAATTGATTAATCAGATAACTTTCCTGGATTAAAAAATAACCTATTCGTGGGGCAAGCATTTAAATCTGAGCCATTCACCCACTGACCACTGTGGAGTCTGGAGACGGCATTTGTTGCAAAGGATAAACTCCTTCATTACAGGAGTCTCAGGTATGAGGGCCCTGACTTCCTAGAGAAAGCAAAGGAGCTGGAGTGACTGGACTTTGTGGAACTGTCAAGCACCTCCCGATGACGCTTCTGTGATGATGGGGACACGGGACAGGGCAGTCCTGGCGAAGTCTTCCTTTGGATAGTGGTCGGGTTGCACAGGAGGACCCTCAGGCTGCGTCAGCAGGCAGAAACCTTGTTGCCTGATGTGCTCCTTCACGATGAAGTTGATGAATTAATAGTGTCAGCCCTGGGGAAGCATAAGGCTTCAGCTGCACTCAGTTGCTGAGCTTACTAGAAATCCTGCACCCCATTCTCTGTGTGGGTCTTGCGACCTCAGATTGTCCCCTTCGCTGCTTACCTTCTCCTTTGTCACAATAGCCTCCTCCCGTGTGACTCAGTGCTTCGGTAAAGGTGTTTGCTGAGTGCACTGTGCGTGTGGAGGGTAATTGATTGGTGGGATACGTGTGTGGGCGGAGATCTTGTGTCTGCTCCTCGCTTTACAATGGGTTTGAGTGGAGATGATTACCTGGCCATGGGAAGCAATGCTAGGGCTCTGTGGGTGGCTAATTGCTTCCGTTTAATCAGGACTTGAACTTTTTCATGTCCCAGGAAAGGATTGAAGACCTTTCTTCTTCTGCAAGCATCAACTGCACTTGTCTCCTAGTTAGAGCTTGCAGGGTGTGTGTTTGTTTAGTTTTTGTTTTATTTTTCTTTCCTCGTTGTTGGGGTGTGCGTGCATGGTGGGGATGGACTCAGTGCCCTGTGGATGCTAATTACATGCTCCTCCACTGAGCTGTACCCGCAGCCTGCTTGCAGCACTTTTTTGAGGCGTTGGAGTATTCAGTAACCAACCGGATGTATCGTACTCAGGACAAGATTTTGCTCTCAGTGGGGAGATGAGGTGCTTCATCGGTTGGACCCTCATCGCAGCCTTTGCAGAGAGTTTGCTAAGAGTGGTCAGTTGCAAAATGGGCCCCATTTCAAGGGCTCCCCAAAGGCTTTCAAACACCAGATTTCCCTGGAACTTCTTAGCCAGAAGAAAATAGCTCTGGTGGCAATAATAAGGATTTTTCTTCTCCAAAACCATTCTATGGGGAGCATAATTTCCTGGGCACCCAGGGAACCTCAGTTATTACCACTTGTTTCCTTTTCTCACCTTCTCTGAGTCAGGTGATGTTTGCGTTTCTTTATTTAACAACCTTAATACGCAGATAGCCCCCTCTGTGGCAGGCAGCCTGTGCGACTCTTACAGCTTCCTGAACGCTTGTTGTTTTGCCAGGCACAGTGCTGAGTGCGACTCCTTACTGCTCATGACATGTGGGCACGTGGTGATAATGACCTTGACTGCATAAGGGAGCGGAGGCTGGGAGGAGGGATGTGGGGCTGATGGGCGGGGTGGGAGGGCGCAGGTCTGGGCCTGGCCCCGTGGAGGCGGTGCAGTAACAGCACAGGCGTCGCCTGTGAGGCGAGGTCATCGCGCAGCCTCTGACAGCCTTCCTTGCTCACTTACCCACACATGGGACCTTCGCTGTAAACTTTAGCAAGCTGGCAGTTTCTGCGGTGGAAACTTTGTCTGTGATTGTTGTTGCTGTCATTTTAATTTAAGAACAAGATTATGTTACAGATTCAGAGAACTGGATGTAGGGGAAACCAGCCACTTTTCAGCATCCTGTCACTTACAGGTATAGCTGTTTCGCTTCCCGTGTGACACACACCTAACAAATTCTTGCACTAAGAAGAAAGTTACGGCTCTCTGTGTTGAATGCTGATTATCCTTGTGCAGTCACATCCTGGACAGCCTTTGTTCAGGACAGCTTCTATGTCCCGTGAGATTGACGGGGTTGCCTTGCCTGCTGGCCTGTGCCCGTATGCACCGTGGTCTCCTGCCCACACGGCTCCTGAGAGCATACTGGCAGCAGGACGGGGGTCGTCCTGCGTGGGGCTCATTGCACTGTCCACCTTGGCGGAGGGCTCCCTTGCCTCCCTCCCAGGTTCCTCTGGGGGAGGACTCAGGGCCCACAAACTTCTGAGCTCCTCATTGTCATGGTTTTCTTCTCTGGTGGCAAAGTTCCCTGAACGGTAGCAGTATTTCTTGATTATTCTGTTGCCGTGTATGAGCCGTAATGTAGAGTGTCCCGGGCTTTTGTTCCTCCTCTCTTTTGCTTGGACTATCTCATTAAAACTTGGCTTATTCCCTAGAGAATGCCAGGAAGCAGAAAAACTAAATATTTGCAAAGTAGCCACTTTTCTCAGTACTGATAAAGCAATTGTATTATGAAGAGGTAGAAGCTATTAGCTAAAATAAGTTTTTATTCAGTGCTGATTTTTTAAATTAGTATATGTTTGTAACACGTAATTATTACATTCTTTGTGGGGAGATGGTACATGTACATAATACATCTTAATTCTTTTTTAATCTGCTCCCCCCCCACTGCTCTCTCCTCTTGTTTTGCTTTCCTTATGGAAAAGTTATGTCTCCTCATTTCCTATAATATCTGTAGGAAAATGGATACATATCAATGCCAGTACATTAAGTGAAATAAATCAGACCCACAAACTTAACTATTACATGGCTTCTCTTACATGAGAAAATGAGAAACCTAAAATATAAATAAATGAAAGAGAAAAATAAAGTAAACGTTTTCGTGCCCAGCAGTGGGTTGGGTGCTTTACGGTGTCGACAGCTGCCTGGTTTTATGTCTGGTTTCCAGCCTGGGATCCTGGCCCCCGCCGGCTTCCCTGCCTTCCTGGGTGTGTCTGCGTGTCTCCTGCCAGAGCTCACATAAGTGTGAGTAGTGGTGAGGAAAGCAGAGGGCTTTTCAGAGATCACGTGCCAAGCAAGTGCTTTCCCTGGCAGGTGGAAGGCTGGGTGGGAGCACTGGATGGGAGGGTCGTGAGTCCGGCCCTGCAGCTGGGGCCCTCGAGGGGTCAGAAGCCCCAGGTGGTACAAGTGAGTGGGGAGACAGAGCGTGCCCTGTCAGCCCCCCCGGCCAGTGACAAAGGCCTGGCTCCGAGTCTTCGTAGGGGCTGAGCCTGGCTTCAGCCACCAAGCGACTCCACAAAGCAAGAGACCTTGACAGGGAGTTCTGTTATCTACTTTCAGGTTGGGGCTACATTGCTGCTTTGAGCAGTTGTTCAGGAGAATCCAATGGTGAAGAGATCATTGCCATTGTCTAAATATAGGCTTGTGCTTTTCTGCTTCTCTGCTTGTAACGTCGTGGCTGTCATCCTGTCTTTTTACGTAAGTTGCCTCCATCTCTCTCCCCTCTCTGACAATGGCAGGGGTAGACACTGCTCCTGCTCCGGACCTCTCTGCTCCCTGCCTCCCACGTGGTCTCCTACCTCAGGCATCATCTGAATCTTGAATCCACTTCTTTCCTCCAAGCCCACCCCACTTAGCTCCTTGGGCCCCTAGCTGCCTGTGGAGGCCAAGGACTCTTGTGAGCTCATACTCAGCCTTGCAGAGCCCCGCCTTCAGTTTTCATTCTGAAGTGACCCCATCCTGATCAATTTTAACACTCCTCCTCCCTGGGAATACCCCCGGCCCCTAGCTGCAGAGCTCACTACTATGCTTTCCCTGTGT